ATTTTTTAATTTATCTAAGTACTTTTATTATTATATTATTTTATATGTGTGTTGTATAATTTATTTCAGTTATATTCGTCTTTTAATTGCAATGGAAATGCAAATAGAGTTTTTTTTCAAATATAAATTTGTATTTATACCTATTATCACTGACGCGATATTAAAGAGACACTCAAGCGTGGAATCGGTTCCTCGATAAGTACCAAAACACGGTCTATACATCGCGACGTCGAAAATTAATTAAAACGACGTAGTTCGTTGAAGTTTGACCCATCTGTCGTTTATACAGTTCAGGTATAATAATAAGAAGTTAAGTCGAGCATTAAGCGTGATTCAATCTAGCACCGGAGCAACCCGATAGCGAATGATATCCGCTTCACGGATTCGCGATAACTCTTTGGTAAGGTAAATTCGAGCTGGCAAAGCCAGTGAGTGGTCGCAGATGCAGATATCAATGTTAGATAATCGGTAAGAATCGAGAACGGAATAGAGATAAAACGATATTTATCTTTCATTTTCGTGAATTTAATAATTTCAATACTATTATCTTCCTTTCCGAAAGTGAAAATATATGTCTTTTCTTATATTTCAATGTTTGAGAAACTAAACTTTTTTGTTATAAATATATATTTTGTTAATATAAATAGTAATGTTATAAATATCTTGCCTTATCAAAAAAAGAGATGTTGGAATTGAATAATAGACGTATTTTTATCATCTATTTTTCCGTCTTGAGATACATTACATAATATACATCGTATCATGATATGAAAAAAAAAACTCGATATAAACAAGCTTCGAATAACGCTGATCATCGCGAGTATTAGTAATTCAATTTGCATCGATTCTCGCAATTGGATATTCTATGCCATTAGTCGATACAACGGCATTCTCGCTATTGTGCTCGTGGAAGAATTACATCGATTGATTTTTGTGTTAGATGCAAGTCACGATAGAGAAAGAATAATAGAAAATGTGTATATGTCAATATCAACCGTGCAAAATGTATCGCGCGGCATTCATCACTGGTTGATTGGTTGTTGCCTCACTATATACAAGTGAGCACATCGAATCTCGGGTGGAGATTACTTCGTTTCGTTTTTCCTTCAGTCGAGAATGCGAGATACTTTACTCTTGACATTATAATTTTCTGTACGATGCACACGTGCAATCCACGTTTCCCGTAGTTCAGAAATATTTCTATATATTTTGCATATGAAATATTTTCACGCATAAAATGCGAACGCAATTCTGCGTAAAATAAGTTAACTTACAAATATTGGAAAAAAAAAATTCGACTGCAATGAATGTTCAATTGTGACGAGTGTATTTTTACTTCGCTAATATAATATTTAAAATATAGTGTTAATGGAGAGATCGCGCGAAAGTTCATTATAATTGATATTTTTCAATTTGCGCGAAGCTGAGATAATATTTCTAGTTTCAGCAAGCAATTTTTGCACTGCGTCAGCAAAGACGTTCGTGCTGCAATCGACGAAGAATGAATTATTATTCGCGGCAGTTTTTGCGAACTCGGCGATAATCGAGATCTCGTTTTCGATTTCCGTAATTGAATTTTCAAATAATTGGAGCGTCTATTAATGAGGACGAATGATGGAAGTTCGATTTTACGCGGTCGTGTATTAAACCTTAAGGCGAACTTCACTAAAGTCCTCTATGCATTTGTTGGAATAATACGTATCAATTAATGTTTCAGAGAAGACAATAACAAGCCGAACCATGTCCTCCTCTTCACAATTATCAATCCAGTTTATCCCATCACTGTGGTAAGTTCTTCATGAATTTATCAATTAATATTAGTATGATCTTGTTTATGTGTTTATAATTTTAAATCGATAAAGAACGAATACATATTAATCACGTAATTTTTCATTCGTGTTTTTAACATTCTTATGCAAACAGAAAAAAATATTACAATATATATATATTTTTTTATTTGTAATTTTAATATCCTTATACAAAGACAGAAAAAATAATATAATTTGCAAATTATTTATTATATTTTTTTTCTGGAGCTCAAACATTTCATTAAATGTCTAAGAAAGACAGTGAGACAAATATATAACAAATAAATATATACTATTCGTATAATGTATATAAATTGAATAATAAAATCATGCCAATGATAAATGACTGTTGTATATATGCGATGCATTTTTTGTTTTTTCTTTTTTCCAAATTTGCAAACATGACAATCGGAATGAAAAAGCGGCGCAATTTCGCGATGCGCAGACTATAACAACGATTGAGGGAAAATATTGAAGCCAAAACCACAGAGAACAAAAGTTGGCAGCACGTCAGCCTTTTAGATTTCACAGGCCGTCGCACTGCATTTTATTTCTGTTTTGCGCCAATAATAGATGAGCTTTGAGCTCTCCCGCCGTTTCTCTCCGCCGCTTCTCGTCGACGGGTCGATGTCATTCGACATTGTTTGCCTCTGTGCCTCTGTTCGTGCGCGAGTGCTCGCATAGCTATCCAGTCACACAAAGCTCGTTTTCTTGCGTCTCTCCCGCGATCGAACCACTAATTAAAGAGCCAACTGAAGGCTTCTTGCTCGCGCGATAACCGAAGGTGCTAACAATACTATGAAGTGTATCGAAGTGTAGATTGTAGCGTAAACACAGCGATATTTTTGTTTTATGTTGCAAAAATATCTTGGCTCCAGCACATTACCAAACATTTATTTTCTTCTCTCTCTCTCTCCTTCATATTATATTTATGGTACCAATATCAGAAGTCTTCTTATTCTACTATAAAGAGATAAACATAAGGAAAAAGATTATATAATCTCCAAATGTAATTATATGATTATATCTATATAAAATATTATTAAAAATATGAAAAAGATTAAACCATGGAGATATAAAGTACTTTACCTGTCCATATTTATAATTATAAAAAATACCGTATGTGTATTGCTATTTAATATTATTTAAAAATATATACATATATGTCAAATATATATTATAATTCATATCCAATTAATAACTACTAGAACAAACTTTTGCATCATGAACGGGAAAAATTCATCATTAATATATGGTAAAAACAAGGTGAAAATTTCACGATGTATATGAGCATCGGTTAATTTGTAAAACGCGACTTTATATTCCATTAAGAGCTCATCTTTTCAATTTAATTAAAAGCTCATCTAGCTAGAGCTTCCTCGAAGGTTTAAGCTCTCAAGTATGCTCTTAGCTCTTTCTCCGTCTTTGTTTTCTTTCTTTTTATTTTCTTAGAATATTCTGTTTTGTAAAGCAATTATTCGTCGTCTAACATTCTACAATTTAACGCCTTGACATTTACAAATGAATTGTCATAACTGTTATCCATTAAAATAAATTAATCGCTGCATTCGCCTTTCTGGCTCTCGCTGATTATTTTTAATTTTCTTCTCGCGCGAGCTTTTCTGTATATTTAATCAGCAAATGCGCCGATCAATATTTCACTTTATTCGAAAATATACTGCCGATCGGTTTTTTTATCCACTAGACAAATATTTATTTAACGAGAACGTTTCGCGGATATGCGAAATTTTCGAAACTACCTTGCTGGACGGGGATCTGTGAATGAGAAATACTGATATTTTTGGAGAACGCAGTAAATTTACGAAATTTTTGATTCTCTCGGCGCGCAATCAATAAAAACTCCATAGTGGTGCGCATCAATGTAACGGTGACAGTCGCAACGGTGAAGTAATCGATTGAAATTTGATTTATAGGCTGAGATTGGCAATTTTTTTTGGATGCGTGGTTAGCATTATAAGCGAGTTCGCTTTTACGAGGTGCAAAGCAAATTGAATTTAATATCATATTTATTGCGGAATTTCTCGGATAGAATGCGCCAATATATACATAATATTTGACATAGATAAGATTGCGCCAAATGATCTACATTTATCATTACAACGTTTATTAATTCGTTATATTAATTAAATTATATTCTCGTTGTGTTACTTATATTACTATGTATGTGTTGATATAATATATTTATATTATGAAATTTATATTATGAACAAGTTAGTATACAACAAATATAAAAATTAAAAGTTAAAATGAGTATATATATACAGGGTGTCTCAGACCTACCGCACCACCTACTAATAGCAGATTCTTGATATATTTGGAGATGATTTTTCAGCAAAACTGTCGAAAGAGGTTATTATTTTTTGCAAGTTCTAATTTTTTCCATCATATATCTTTGTAACTAACAGTAAGCCTTAAATTAAAATTTTCTCTCTTAAAGTAAACTCTGAAATTAATTAAAAAATATAGTTTTATCTCTCTATAAAGTTTAGTTTGCAAAAAGCCCTTTTTTTTAAATCGCTTATAATACGGAAATTATTGATGCCTCGACATTTTTGCTCAGGAAAAATCATCTTAAAATGACCTCAAGAATCTGCTATTAGCAGCTGATGCGGTAGGTCTGGGACGCTCTGTGTATGTATATATATATATATATGTATATGTATATAAGTATAAAATTAATCGAGCACATAAACAAATATTTCAATAAAATAAATTTTTTAAGCGATGCAAATATGGGAAAATACAAAAAAATGCATATTAATGTATTGTATATTTTGTTACATTGGCAATTAATATACTCACATATGATATAAATAATATATATCTTATTATTTGACAGATATTTTGGTCTCTAGCTTTGTGTTTAGACTTTAATAAAACGTTTGAGCTTCTTAAAAAGAATAGATAATTTATATTATTTTTTTCGTAAAAACTTTAGATATACGAGTTGAAAATCACGTAGCTAGCATTTCTTTATTCAAAAATAATTATTGCTCAAATTATGATTAAATTACTATCTATTAAAATATTATGTTATAATTATAAACTATTTATAATGAAAGCTATTCCAAATTACATCTGTGATGTAATCTTGCTCCATGCGGTATCGCTTCAAATCGTAGGACGAAATTGAAGCGTGTCTCACTGCAGCTCTCGCTATTTCCATTAATTATAAAGAATTCTCTAATTCGGGTTATTGCGATACAATATTGCAAGTATCGCTATTTACTTGTTTGCCAATGTATCGCGCTTGAAATAGTAGCGAAACACGCAAGAGTATATACCTCATATCTAGTTTATCACGACATACACAGATAAATGTTAATATCATTAACGACACGCTCTATGAATCACATATAACGAAGGAAGTGATACACAAAATAATTTTGAATTACATTTATAAATTTTATTTTTGAAATATTTAATTGACGAAATTGATTTTTTTGAATGTCGTCTATTTACGAGATTATATTGTCTTTTCACAGAAATAAAATTTTATTTATTTTCTATTTGTTCAATGAGAAAATCAACATTTGAAACAAATATTTTTGTCGAGACGTCATATATTTCTTAATGTACATATAGACTTGTTAATAGACATTCTTTTAACTCTTAAGATATTATATATATGTGTGTGTGTATTTATAAAACTGGAACATGCGGAGAATTTTTTACTCATACTCATAGTCGCACACTTTGTAGAAATAATACATAATATCAGACATGAATCTAAATGTGCTTCTGAACAAGAATAACTGGATAAATAACTCAATATTGTATCGTGCCGTAATGCAAAGGCCAGATATTTCGAGATACCTCATCGAATCGCGCGGGAAAAGTCCTGCGGGACATTGACCTTTACACAATACAAACGCTTTGTGCGAAATCGGGGTACACGTGCTCGGGTGTAAATTCAAACGCGATATTGGCCTTTAAATAGCTGCGCCGTGTGTACGCAAAGTGCGTACGATTTGCGTCGTAATTTGGAATAACGATACTGACTGCGCAAATAAACATCTAACTAAATTGTCTTAGTATATAACAGCTCTGATGTGTACGATCTTAATGATAGAGGGTGAACTATATACTTAATGTAGGAGACAGGGATTTATAGATGTGAATGCAATATATTTGATTAAATCAATACGAAATGTTTAGATAGAATTCTTTAAAAGGCATACAATCGCAAAACTTAATTTTATAATGTTTGACAAACAATTATAAATTTTACTCATTATTTATTATACATATATTGGAGAGAGATACACGAGATACACACTAATATTCCACATATATGGTTTTACCAAATATTTTAATAATATTTCATATATTTAATAAAATAAATATTTCTTAGTTCAAGAAATTAATGCATAAATTAAGATTGCGGTATATTTAAATGAATCAATTGTACTCTCGAAAGGAAGTTTCATTATTTTATCTCTTTATAGGATATCAAGTTTCAATAAATTGATTGAAGGGTTGTTAAATTTATATCTAGCGTAATTACACGCATTCCATGTCGTCTACGTTGAGAAGAGTGCTGTATGTATATATTCAGTTGCATTTAGCAATTTGTTACATAGAATGCGGAAATAAATTTCGCACGCTTTGACTTTGGCAATAACACGCACGGTGATGTGCGACAGCTTGCTGGATTTAGATTAATGAAACAGTTATTTCAAGACTCTCGATTCCGATCTTAGCCGGAATTTGTAATGCGATCCTGACATACGTTTCTGTCTAGCAAACTTGCAAACTGGATTATGGAGATATAAAAAAGTCGCATATTATGCTCTTTATCATACCTTTACAATGAATTAGTCGTTTAATTTAGCTAGATCTTAATAAGATCTTCGACAAGAACCAATAAAATAATAATAAACCAATGGAAACTTTAGCAGAATTCCTCCCACTCGACATTGATTTATCGAAAATGATTAATCGGAGTATTTATAATA